TGTGGTGATCTCCGAAATAGTGCTATAACTTCTACCGCTTAGACTTTGTTGCTTTTTCAATTTTTCCTAATAAACAATCGTGGTACAAAGCTCAATAAAAATATTAAAAATAAAATGTTAACAAGCCACAATAACATTGACAGCGCATAATGTTGCCGAAATCCCGTTTTTTTTTTTAATAAAAAGCTTCCCAGCCTCATTTATGTATTCGCAACAATTTCTGGATGCCAAAGTATCAACTAAAGACTATGAGACAGTCAACGCCATGCACAAAGTACCAACAGACCATATGCGTGCAGCCTGTGTGGACAGCTTCGCTGCTGCAATTAGCCGCGATAAAGGCGGCTGACATCGAACTGTAATACACTTTTCTAAAAATTTGACGAGTGTTTATGATGAAGTGATGTTTTTAATACAAACAAGTAAGAAAGTCTAAGTTCGGGCGGAGCCGAACATTAAATACCCGGCGCAAGTATTAAATATATGTTTTCCACCTTTCCGAAAGCTACCGCTACATGATAAGCCGGGGTGTATACATTTTAAGTAAATTAGCGTCCTTAAATTTCGAAATATTGAAATTTCAAGCATTTTTGAAATTTACCGTTATATGAAAAGCGGCCTCAATTTTAGTCCGATTTCAACAATTTCCAACGGTTTGCTTTTATGTGGCAAGCACAATAACCATACCGAGCTTGGTACAAATTGCTAGAACGGCTAGCGAGATACATATCACAAGTGGGCGGTGCTACGCCCATTTTCCAAAATTTTGTCATAAACGTATTTCTTGGTAAAGAATTGTTGCAATCATCAATTTTGAATAAATTAGCTTCAATATTTACTGATTTATCGAAGATTTTGTATTTCTCGAAATTACCGTTATATGGGATGTGGGCGTGGTTATTGTCTGATTTTAGAAATTTTCGGCCATTTGTTATGTTGTACCAGGACCAACAACTGTGCCAAGTTTGGAAGAAATTGGTGTAGCGGTTACCAAGATATACACATGTAACCATAAGTGGGCGTGGCTACGCCCATTTACCAAAATTTTGTAATATTCTTATTTTTCGTCTAAAACTTATTATAAATATCAATTTTGAGTGAATAATCTCCAGTAGTTACTAAAATATCGCAGTTTTCGTATTTCTGGAAATTACCGTTATATGGGAAGTGGGCGTGGTTAAAGTCCGATTTCGCCCATTTTCAATACCAACCTACCTTGGATTAAGGGAAACCTACATACCAAATTTCGTTGGGATATCTCAATTTTTGCTCGAGTTATCGTGTACACGGACAGACGGACAGACGGACAGACGGACAGACGGACAGACGGACGGACAGACAGACATGGCTTAATCGATTTCTTTTTTCATCCTGATCATTTATGTATACATTTGTCTATATCTATCTCGATTCGTTTTGGCTGTTACAAACAACCGTTATGTGAACAAAATTAATATACCCTTGTGCACAAGTGCGCTCGGGTATAAAAAAAAATATACAAAATTATACCTTTTTTAATTGGCAACACTTCGAGTGCATACAAAGTGTAATACGAAGACGAAGTTGAATGTGACCACGTAGATCAACCGAATACGAATAGGAAGACGAATTCCATTACGACAACGACGATAAATATGAAGACGAACATATATCAAGATGACACCCTTAAAAAATCGAATGGGAAGTTACATAGTTTATATAAATTTCGTAAGCGACGAATTCAGTGCGCAAACAATGCGGTAAGCTTAGGTAAGGATGAAACGATACGAGTAAGTAAATACTCGATACTTTTCGTTCGATACCAAGTAATTTTAGTAGCGATTCATTTGGACCAAGTACTAAGCAGGTATCGAAAAAAATACTCGTATCGAATTTTGCTTCGGAATTTTTTCCTTCAATGTTATTCCTAATATGAACCGTCCTGAGCTTTATGCAGGATCCAACTACACAAGATTGGACATGATGAACCAAAGGAAAAAAATATTTTTCTGGCTTCGACGTTCATCACTACGACACCTTCCTGCTCTTAATGGCTGCTTAATTTCCAGCGAAAACCGCGAGTAGACTTCAAAGTCGAAATACTCAAGGAAGGGGAGATTTGTTCTGTTATTGAAGAAAAGAAGAAAAGGGGCAGGCTGCAAGGCCCAGCTATGAAAATTTAAACGCCATATTTGCATATCGTCTTGAGGAAAGTTGATGTCATGATTGTATGTGAAACTGTACCAGGTCATGTAATAAAAACACATTTTTGAAACTGCCGCATTTAAATATTTGGATTTTAAATTTTGTATACAAGTCAGCCGACAGCACAGGATGATTAACTTCTGACTTAAAAAATAAAATTTATCTTAGTTAATGCGGAATACCTTCATAGCAAAAGTATGGATACTTTTCTGGTATCGATACTACTTGCAAGTTAAAGTATCGATACCTTTGTAGTGTCGTTTCATCCCTAAGCTCAGGCGAAGTGCAAAATCGAAACGAAAACTTTCGAATCAAACTTACCATAATTTTTAATGAAAACATTTAGCAAAATAAGAAATTTTTTATTTTTACTTCCGATAGTATGGAAATCTTAAAGAATTCGAAAATAAATCATTATTACTCTTTCCGATTGATTGCCTAATTTTCTAAGATTAAAGGTACTGTCCACACACCGATTCTTTAACGAAGTTGCAGAAGAAAATCCGTAAAGTAATGAAAATAATGCTGCGATGTGAAGAATTTTTTTTGAAATTTTCTTTAAGCAATCATACATAAATTTCCTTACAAGTTCGTGTCAACCACTTCATACGAATTCGAAACAAACTTCCGACACTCTTAAAGATTTCATTAAGATTTGAGGAGCTGTTGTTTGTAGCGTATATGAGCTTTCGAATAAAAAAACAACCAAAAATGTTGAAAGTTTCACAGCTGAGACCATTTAGAAACGCAATTCTGCTGGCATATTTTATTATAGACGCTTCTACAATAAGCCTTTATTATAAACTCATCTTGACTAAATCTTTTAGGTCTCAAAAATTGTCATAGGTCTCTTGGCATTGGCTGGACTGCTGTCTCAAGCACCTACTACTGATGCAGCTAGAATACTTGCAGTTTTCATATTTCCGGCCAGAAGTCACTACCAGATGCATCAAACCGTTATTAGCGAGCTGGTGAAACATGGCCATCAGGTAAAAGCAGTCATGAGCTCACACAGCATTTATTTGACGCTAAGCCCATTTATGGTTAATCCATCATTAGGTCACCATGATCACTGCGCGCACACTAGAGCCACTCAAACTGGGGAGCAACTATACTGAGATACTCATTGAGCCGGAGTTCGATTCCTGGAAGCATAGTGAGTTTTTTCTTTAATGCCGTAACCAAACACATACTGCTGCCGGGCATTTACTTATCATTCGTTGCAGTTAATAGCAAAGCCGGAGTAAAATCAAACTACGAATTAGAAGCTAGTTTATTGCTTTATTTAAAATTGGTAAACTCTCTGGCTGTTGAAACGAGCGAACATGCGCTAAAACAATCGAAAGTGCAGGCTATTATAAATGCCAAACAAACTGAGGGTGTCTTCGATTTGCTGTTGGTAGAACAGTTTCAGCAAGAAGTCTTTCTTGCCTTGGCTCATATTTATAAAGTACCTGTTATCAGCTCGGCCACATTTGCCAAGAACCTTTACATGAGTCAGATGTTCGGCATTATTTCGCCTTGGTCTTATGTGCCTAATGGTATGCTGGAACTAAGTGACCACATGAGCTTTTGGGAACGCGCTCAGAATACATTCAACTCACTGGCATTTGATTTACATCGTGAACTTAGTTATTTTCCAGTAGTGGATAAACTTGTGCAGAAATACTTTGGACATTTACCAAGTAAGAATTGGACATATTTTTATGCACACTTAACGACTCTTTGATGTAAATTCATAGCCTTTATGACTTAATTCTCTACTTTCTGGCAGTTAAGTTCCCTAGTGCTTCTGCTATGGAAAAGAATCTCTCTGCCATATTCATCAATGACTACACGCCCTTAGCGGCCGCTGCTCCAACAATGGATAACATGGTT